GTTCTCATCACACTGCGAACACCCCTTATTCACCTCGTAGCCTTCCTGGCGATACCCATCTCCACCTGGGTCACCTGCTTGCCTTCGCCCTCCTCACTACACACTTCCTACAGCCGCTCACCCAGCAGATTGCATGCATGTACCTCATAGGCAGAAGACAAGCGCCAAATTAGCGCAACGTACCACAGCTCCCATACCAAAATGCAAGTAAAATGAGCAATAGCGAATTCCAGTTACCAAGCAGCAAAATACACATGAAACCAGATAGTCGTGACCTCGAACCAAAAGCAGAATTGGAACTCGAGTTCCACCAAATAAGAGCACAGCAAAAGCTCACAAGTGATGATGTTGGAAAAGTCTCATCATCATCAACAAAGAACCAATGTCGATTTCCTATCTAGCGCCCGGCGCCCAGACTACAAATGGCAGATCCTATCAATAACTCTCCGAAGTACGAGCAGATCTCGGCCAATGCCGTTCGCCTCAAGCACCAGGTATGTCTCTCGCATCACTCACAACCTCAATCCCCCACTCACAGATGCCACGTGCACCCAAGGACCACCATGCGCCCTATCTAGCACCTCGCAGGCCAACTCGGCTACGGCTGCCTGCGCATCCCTTGTTCGCCTGTGAGCGCGTGGGCGCTTGCCTGCCAGTAGCGCAGCAGCGCTTGCGCAACATGTAGCAAGTGCCTGAATGCCAAATGCGAGGATAGGCACTTTCCTAAATGGAAGTGGCCTGCCTGCTGCGCTGGGCACCAGCCTAGAAGCTTTTGGTAGGCCACAAGAGGCTGAGCCCCGGACCAAACGAATCAGGCTCAGGGCCTATGGCGGTTACGCGTGTCCAACTGCCCGCAGCTTGTGTTCGGTCCATGCTGCGTATCTGGCCCAGGGCCTGCCTCAGTTACATACGATAAAGGCAGCCAGGGTCTGGGCACTGTCAACCAACTGGCGCTGCACAACTGCCTGAATTTCCCCAATTGCGTGGTAGTCCAAAAAGGCCTCTCGGCCTTGGTCGGGCCTGCCTTCACTTAGGGCGGCCGACATTGTTGATAATAGGGCCCTGTATGGCTCGTCGAGGCTTTGAGCCTCGCAATAGAATGCGGCCTCACGCATGCACCCATAGGCTGGTCAGAGTACTAGCTTTATGCTTACGCAATCTGGCAGTACCTCCACCGTGCAGCGTGTGTTTGACCACTTGTCTGTCCTAGTCAAACTGGGGCCGTGCAACCGAAAGGTAGTACATACCAAGCAAGATATCCATAGGGAGATCATCGCTGACTAGGAACAAGATTTTATGTCTCAGTTCCCCTCCCGCGTACGGGAAACGACACTCTACGTCTTTTAGGTAGTCGTTGATTACTATGCGCTGTTTGCTGGCACAGGTCGAATCCACATGTCGACTGAGGCGTTTCACTTGCCCCTATAAGTGCAGTCGTTCAACACAAGTGCGACTGATAAAGTTCCTCGTTGAATATGTATCGTAGAAGGCCTCAACCTTACGGCCGCCTATTTCTACTTCGTCGACAAACAAGTCACCTAGTGTCGTCCAAGAAGCTAGTGGGTCTGATCTAGACCACTCCTCCTCTAGCTAGGACTCAAACACATTCATCCAACAGAGGATCGACTGGTCCGAATGTGCTTGCGGGACGACAACAGAGTCAATAGCTTGGGCCATCTCACGAGATGGTGACGGTGGGTCCACCACCTCGACCCTAGCAGGAACAATTATAATTCCTACTGGCGCGACGTGTTTCCCGAAGCAGTGCCCGAACTGCTGGCCACATTGCTACTTTGGGAACCGGAGGAGACCGGCCCCTGCCCCATTGTAGGAGGGATCTTTTCTGACACTTTACGATTCTGACACTTGAAGTGCGTATGACCATACTGGCCACAACGAATACAAGCTGCACGGGAGTAACAATCTCTCCACACGTCCTTCGTAAGCCCCGCTTTCTCCCATGGAGGAGCATTGGGTCTACTCGACTCTTTGATCGGGAACCTCCACGGCGTCTACCAGTCGCCTTTCCTTTTTGTACTGAGGCAGCGATTCCTCCACCCCTTAAAGCTTTTGCACTACCGGACTCTGACCCTACTCCCACCTGGAAGTCGTCGTCTAACTCTATGGTAGTACCATCGTTGTCGACGAACATTATGTGCCCCTTGGCCTTCCAGTTAGGAGGTAGTGCCTTTCTCCTACCATCCGTTGTGGATTGGTGCTCCATGCCCGATTTTTGCCTCTAGATCTAGGGCCTTCTTGCTGAACGATGGGGGATTTCGAGGACCGTGCTCATGGCCTCACTTGCCAACTGATTTCTGATCTCCTTAGGGAGGCACCTCAGGTAAGTGGTAAGTAAGACCTGGGGGTCGTAGCATATCCCTGGAACACAGATCAGGTGCTCTACTGCGTTTGTGGCATCCCTTACTGCCCTGAACGTCCTTGAGCTCAAGGTCAATATCCCTGTCGGTGGTCTTTTGAACCTCCTGCGGGTTATGCCACCTTTCCTCCACCAGCTTGATGAAATCATCCAGTCTCTGGGTGACTGCCCAAGCGCGGAAGTCATGGCCGTACCCATGTAACTGCACTTACCCGCTTAACCACCTCGCTGCACTCCCCTCAAGATGCGAGGCAGCCACAAGTACTTCCTCGTGAGGCAAGGTTAACTTGCACTTCATGTAGACTGGCACCGTCCTCAAACATGTGTCAAGTTCCTTACCCTTCTTGTCACCCGAGAAGGGATGGGGTGATGCGATGACAGTCTTCAGAACCCACTTGTCACGAAGGTTGTGGGGCCTGCGGTGCAGGCTGCAGCACTAGCTGCTGTTGGGGCTGTGTGCCCTGTTGCTGTGCTGGCTTGGAGACAACAGGCTGCCCTGTTACTGCAGTCTGCAACGGAGGTTGGGAGAACACAGTCTGAACGAAATCTGTACACTAGGACCTGCTGAGAACCCACCTGGCAAAGGCATAACCAGGTGGGAAGCGGCCTGTACCGATACCGGAGAAAGTGTGGATGGGACTACTCCAGTTACCGGTGGAACAAAAGGAGTCTGTATCACAGGCCAGGTACCTGGCCCAGATGGTGATGGTGTGACCTGAACTCGCCCGACCAGCACGGCCAGGCTCCTCTGAATGTGTGGCAGGAGAACCGTATAGTAGTCCTGCATCTCCACTACATCTAGCAGGGCCGTCCTAACGGTCCTTACATCGTCATCCATTTTTGTCAGGTCCATCTCCTCTAACTCCCTGATGTCCGCTTGTCTCCGCTGCATTTTAGATGTATGTCTGATCGTTCTTTCTTTTTCTGCCTGTATCTCGTCCAATGCCTGTTGTAGCTGTGCCTCGCGAGCGCTTGCTCGCTGGATGGCAACCTCCGCGGGAGTTAACATTGGTTGCTGGCTTGCCATTACACCAGTGGACTGACTCTGGGTCTGTGCGACCGTCGCCCCGACAGTCCCTGAACTAATGGCCTGGGAACTCTGCTGCGCAGAGGTGGCCATGGTGGCTGCTAAGGTAGCTGTCTCCCTTGCAAAAGCTCTGCTTGCCTCTACGTCCCTTGCCAACCTCTGCTGCCGCTGCCTCCTAGCCTGGTGGAACAGAAGACGTGGACCAACGGGAGTCTATGGCTTGATGAACGCAAGATCCAATCGTCCGGATCAGGGTTCTCCCTGTCGCTCATATGCTACAGCACTGTACACTGTCTACACTAGGACACACTCGGTTGCCAGACCGGTTTAAATAATAAAAATAAATAATCGGTGGCATTGTCAGATAATACACAGTTGGGTTCAACAGGTAAGTTCAGATTCCTATAAATAAAACTATTTTACTTGACCAGTCCACAAACAGAAAGCAAATAAGGGAAAATAACCGGATTGCGCTGGTGTCTAAAGGTGTGCACAGCCCACCCCTGTGCCCCAAGTCAATCCTGAGCTGGCCAGCCCTGCACTATATTTACCCTTGCATGCAGCGAGCCTTACAACAACCAATTGGCTGATCAAGAGGCAGTTTAAGGACGGCCTCTGAGATCCTCAAGAATTATTTAACGTTGCAAACAGGACGACGATCACAGCCAATGGAAGGTAACCCGCCGGTATTTATTTATAGACCTCCGGTTCCCGTCTCCCCAGTAGGGCTGGCCTGCCCCTCAAGACCTATCTATAGCGCAGCAGGCAGACAAAGGACAAAGCGGCAAAGCATGCGTGCTCTACTCCCGGTGGGTTGGCATGGTGACCGTGACCCAGTGCTTCGTCCAGGGCCCTTCAGATGGCAATGCCCTCTCCTTCCAGATTCTCCACGTGAACAATGCCGACTCTCAAGGTTGAGCGCACTCGACTCCTCACATGAGAGGACTCTCAAGACAGAACATACATCCTCCCGGTAAGAAGTGTCGAAGAGGGTAGATAAGGTTAAGAGCAACGTACCTCAAAATATCTGCCCCCAACCACAGATATTCTCACCAGATGACCTGACGTCCATTGCAATGACCAGTCATTGCTTCAGCACAACCAGCATTATACCGCCATTCCACATCAGCATCAATTGCAAATCAGATAGTTCTAATCATACTGCGAAACAGCCAATATCACCACACAGCCTTCCTGGCGATTCTCCTCTCCACCTGGGTCGCCTGCTTGCCTTCGCCTTCCTCACTGCAGGCTACCCACGGTTGCTTACCGAGTTGACCGTGTGCATGCACCGCATAAGCAGAAGACAATTGCCAGATTAGCGCAATCGTAACACAGCTCCGATAGCAAATTCCAGAAACCAAGCAGCATCATACACATGAAACCAGATAGTCTTGACCTCGAACCAAGAGCAGAATTGCAACTTGCGTTGCAGCAAAGAAGAGCACAGCAAAAGCTCACAAGTGACAATGTTGGAATAGTCTCATCATCATCAACAATGAACCAATGTCGAATCCCTATCTGGCGCTCAGCTCCCAGACTACAAATGGCAGATCCGATCTAGCCTATCCACAATGCCGCTGGTGACGTCAACAGCTTCCTGAAGTACGAGCAGATCTCGGCCAATGCTGTTCGCATCAGGCACCAGGTATGTCCCTCGCTTCACTCACAACCTCAATCCTCCACACAGATGCCACATGCACCCGAAGGCCACCATGCGCCCCATCCAGCTATGCGCAGGTCAGCTCGGCTATGGCTGCCTCTTTCTTCCCTGCTCGCCCGTGCGTAGGCACTCGCTTCAGCAGCTGGCGCAGCAGCGCTTGCGCATAAGCAGCTAGTGCCCGAATGTCTAGCCAGCATTATGGAAAGAGGCTGCCAGTCGTGGGCTGCCTGGCTGGCCTGGGCCTCTCCCAGGAAGCTTCCGGTAGGCCCCAAGTGGCTGAGCCCCTGTACCAGGACCGGCGGAGGTTACCCGTGTCCAACTGCCAAGCGGCCTGTGTTCAGTTCATGCCACGCGCCTAGCCCAGGGCCTGCCTCAGATACATTCGGAAAAAGGCAGGCAGGGCCTGGGCTCACTCAACCAACTGACGCAGCGCAACTGCCTGAATTTCCCCGTTTGCAACCAACGCCAAATATAGGCCTCTCCTCATTTGGCAGGCCCTCGCATGTGTGAGAGAGAGAGAGAGAGAGAGTTTGCATCCGTCGGTCGCCTCCAGATTTTCTGCATTACCTGTTAAGTTTGTTTTTGCGAGCGAAGCCGCAACAGGTCATATAGCAACATGCTTGGCGACTTTAGCTCTTAGTGCAACACGAGGGATTGGGTCTATGTAGCCCTTGCTCTCGTCTCCGAATTGTGTGTGCCTCTGGAGTCTGTAGTGCCTGGCCTGAATTGTGCGACCAGTTTCCCATTTGGAAGAGCAAGGTTGCCCAAGATGCCGAGGTCGTGGTGTCGGCCAGAGCATGACAGTGGGATATGGCTGAAGGAGAGTCCGACGGGAAATGTTCGTACTAGTATTTATTTAACTTCTGCTCAGGGTTGCACCCCCGTCGACTGCCGACCAGTCAGAAAGCAGGCATCCACTGATTTTTTTTTTTTTATCTGAGTTTGTGCAAGGAAGATGAGCGATAGTGAACTTCAGAAATCAAACAGCACCATACACACTAGACCAGATAGTCGTGACCTCGAACCAATAGCAGAATTGCATCACGAGTTTCACCAAATAAGAACACAGCAAAAACTCATAATTGACAATGCTGGAATCGTCTCATCATCATCAACGAAGAACCAATGTCGATATCCTATCTGGCGCTCGGTGCCCAGACCTCAAATGGCAGATCCTATCTAGCCTATCTACAATGCCGCTGATGACGTCAACAGCTCCCCGAAGTACGAGCAGATCTCGAACAATGCTGTATGCTTCAAGCACCAGGTATGTCTCTCGTATCACTCACAACCTCGTTCCTCAACTCACAGATGCCACATGCACCCAAGGACCACCATGCACCCCATCCAGCATACAGCAGCGCAGCTTGGCTATGGTGCCTGCTCCTTCCAGCTCGCCCGTGAGCGCGTGAGCGCTGGCCAGCGATAGCGCAGCAACGCTTGTGCACAATGCAGCCAGTGTCGGAATGCCGATCGCGTGGGCAGGCCCTTTTCTAAATGGAAGTGGCCTGCCTGCCTCGCATGCAGCCTGGCTGCGCTGGGTCCCTGCCCAGAAGCTTCCGGTAGGCCCAGGGAGGCTGAGCCTCAGTCCAAACGAATCAAGCCCAGGGCCACCGACAGTTACCCGTGCCCAACTGCCCGCAGTCTGAGTTGGGCCTATGCTGCGTATCTCACCCAGGGCCTGACTTAGATACATTTGATAAAGGAGGCCAGGGTCTGGGCGCCTTCAACCAACTGGCGCTGCGCAACTGCCTGAATTTTCCCCAGTTGCGAAGTAGTCCAAAATAGGCCTCTTGTCGTCTGTCAAGCCTGCCTTCACTTAGGGCGGCTGACCTGTTACAGATAGGGCCCGGAAGGGCTTATCGAGGCCTTGTGCCTCGCATTCCACCTCCATACTTCGCTAGTCCTCTGGGAAGTTTAGTCAATCTGGCGCTTTCCTTTCTGCAGTAACTTCTCGTAGTGGGCGACAACCTGTGGAGCGGTCTGCATCAATTCTTCCCGTGTAAACCATCTGTCCTCCTTAGGATCAGTGTGATGCCTGAACCAAACGCGATACTGCAGCTTCAGTTTCGGTGGATGTGATCCACGAGTTCATCAATGTCGACCTCTCCATCCATGGTTGGGGGCAGCATTGAGCGTCGCGAAGGGAACTGGTCAGTTTCCTTGAATGGTGCAAGCTTAGAAGCTTGAAAAACAGGGTAAGCGCGAAGGTGTCCAGGGATCCGAATGACGTATGAGGGTCCATCTGGTTCATCCCCAACTACATCCAAAACCTCCCATTGTCCAAAGTAATGTGGCACGAGCTTACGGGAAATCCCGTGCTCCTGTCCCAGTTCTGAAGCCTTGACCCAGACTTTGTCCCCTACCTGAAACATATATGGGCGGCGGTGCTTGTTCTCAGATTCCATCATCGCCGCCTGTGCTTTGTGCATGTGTTCTACTGCCTGCTGCATATGACTCTCATATTTATAAGCGAATTCCAAAGTGCCTGGAGCGGCATTAGGCTGGTTCTCAGGTAGCAGAAAGTCGAGGGGGAGCCTGGGTTTGAATGTTAGAAATAGGCTGTTAGGACTCGGTTTGAATGTTAGAAATAGGCTGTTAGGACTTACTCCCATGGCACTATGAACTGCGTTGTTGTACAAGCTGGCGATGAGAGCAAGCTTCTCATCCCAATGATTAGTCTTAATGTAGTGCCTTAGCAAGTGTTGAACAGCACGGTTCATTTGCTCTGCCTGTCCGTTTGCCTCTGGATGATTTCCAGATGTCATCTGCTGCTGCGGCCCTTGTTCGGCAGCTGCGGCCTTCCACAGTTCACTGGTGAATCGGACATCCCTGTCGCTGATTATAAACTTCGGCAGGCCAAAGTCTCTGACCCAGTTTTCCTTAAATAGCTTTATAACGTACTTGGCCTTTGCTGTTGTCGACATGGCCACTAACCTAGCATACTTGCTAAATCTCTCCACAATGACGTAGATGTACCTCATGCCACTCTTGCTGGTGACTAGCGTATCCATGAAGTCCATGGACAGGCTCTCACCAGGCCTTTCCGAAATGGGAAGGGGCTTGAGCAGCCCAAGAGGAGCCCGGGTCTGGGGCTTGTCATGTTGACAAACTTAACAAGTCTCGACATACAGTTTAGCATCTCTCATCATCGTGGGCCACCAGAACCGCTGCAACAGATTGGCTGCAGTCTTCTTGAAACCAAAATGTCCCATGGCATCGTGACTCCTACCTAAAAATAAACTACGCAAAGACTCTCCATTGGGAACACACAAACGTTTATTACCTGCCTTCTCAAGGAACAGCACGCCGTTGACCAACTTAAACTCGGCAGAAGTCACCTTGTCCTTCACATTGAGTCTGCGTATGATCTGGGACATGAACTGGTCCTCGCGATAGGCTTCCACCAAAGAGCGAGTGGCATCGTCCGCAAGCCCAAACTCAGTGATCAGCGCACCGGCGAAGTCTGGCCTACGCGACAGTGCGTCAACAACTTTGTTGTACTCCCCTTTGAGGTACTGGGGCCCGACTTTGAAGTCATACTGCTCAATGACTTCGATCCAGCGTTTCAGTGCATCAGAGAGCACAAGCTGAGTTCTCATCCACTGCAGGGTTTGATGATCAGTCCTGACGATGAAGAACCTCCCAAGGAGATAGTGCCTCCAATGGGTTAGCGCTTTATAGATCGCGTACAACTCCTTCTCGTAGGTGGACTTAACCAACTTGTGAGAGGGCATTTTTTTGGACATGTACTCCACTGGCCTCAACTTTGGCCTCTCCTATTGCGCTAGCACGGCACCAATGCCATATTGGCTGGCACCCGTGGTTACTATGAAAGGCATGTCAAGATCAGGAAGTTTCAAGACCTCATGGTGGGTCAATGCATGCTTCAGATGTCTGAAAGCAGCCTCGCACTTGTCTGTCCACTCCCATGGGGTGTCAAGGTGGGTCAGGTCAGTCAAAGGAGCGGCCACTATGCTATAGTTCTTAACAAAGTTACGGTAGTAGCCGGTCATACCTTAGAAAGACCTCATCTCAGTCACAGACTGAGGACGTGGTGTAGGCCCGAATACCATTACAAGGGTATTTGGGCACAATTTTGCATCTCATAGAAGATGCGTTTTCAGCGATATCCGAGAGAGTGTCCCATTTCCAAGTGACCACAACCAATTCTCAGAGGTTGGGAGTGGCACTCACTTTTTGATCTGATTAGAGAGTGTATGGGCGTGCACCTTGAGGGCACGCACGGTACTTAGGCGGATGTTTGGTTATGAGAGCGACACCTTCGCCTACTGACGTGAACTCGGAAAAGGTTGTGAGAAGGCTGCAGTAGCCCACGCGGAGTGGATTCGCATCCAAGACCGACATTTGGGCGGTCTGGGCTAAGATCTAGCCATCGAATCCGCTTGGCTTACTGGCCACGGCACAAGGATCAGTGAGGTGCAAAGTGCGGGACTTCCTAGGGCGACCATGATATTGATCAACAGTAGGAGCCGCGGGCGGCACTATAAAAGTCGGGTTTTTTGTTTTCTCGGCGCTTAGGTGGTAAAGGTGCGGCTTTTTCGGGGAGACAGCCTAGTAAGGAGAGTTTGAGTAACGGTGCGGTTGTGCCCAATGCACTACGGCGCCAGGTGAAACTGACCCCTTCATGCAGTATGGCCGGGTATGTAGGAACCTATGACATGGCCGGAGAGCCAAAGAAACTGCTTTTTAGCGTTGTCGGACAGGCCTAGGCCTGAAAACAGGCGTCTTCATAACCAAGTCCGCGCCTGTTACCTCCAAGCTTGGGCCTAGCCCTATAGGTTATGACTTTGAACTAACACTACGGAGATCCGGGAATCGAAGCCAGCTGCCGACGGCGGAGGAGCGGAGGAGCGCACTGCCAGAGAAAACTGAGGGGTTGAGGGTCCCGCGGGACTATCCCCCTTAGTTTTGCTAGGGAGTCCGACCGCGGGCCCATTAGGTAGGACCGAGGGTAGGGTTCC